TGGCTGTGGTCCTAGGAACCTGCACCTCTCCCAGCCTGTTAGCTCACCCATGACCACAGAAGATGAGCAGTTGTGGGGCCGCTAAGCGTCACAAGTTTTAATTCCCGAAAAACTTAGGAAAACAACTTGTATGAAGTGAAAAAGTTACAATAGGATGGTCCATCTTCCTGAGGGGTGCCCGTTTGCTCCCTGCCCACCAAACTCAAGAGAGGGACTGTCTGGGTGTCTCCCGGAGACTCCTAACTGCGAGTAGGGAGAGTAGTGCAGACATCTGAGTCAGCAGCTCATAACAAATTTGTTTTTATCTTAGATAACATTTACAGATGATTTTGTTTTTGTCATTAACAATTGTTGACTAATTCAAGAGAGTGATTTATAACAGCCTGGGATTTGACATGGGTAGTGATTAACAATCACTTTCATTGTCTGTATTTGCATTTAGTAAATGGTTACTGTGAAGTTTACATGTGGAAGGCACTGTATTAGGTGCTTTGGAGCTTTTAATAGAAAAAGAGAATCTGTCACAGTAAGAGGCTTATTTGATGGCCTTTAAAATCTCTGTATCTTTCAAAATTGCTTTCCTAAAGTGAGAAGTGAGGATAAGAACATAAAAGGGGAAACATCTATTTATACTTCCTCAGGGTTCCATTCTGGTCCCAGAGGGTGCCTGGGAAAATGCCAAGGGAGGCAGTTTCCTGTGCTTAGTAAGGCCCCCCTTGGGCCAAGTGCCAGTAGATCTATTTAATCCTTGTGGAGCTATTTAAGCAAGTGCTGCTGACAGGGTTAGGACTTAATAAACTTGCACTGGGTTCTCAATTCTGGGTATGTGTGTTTGACTCCTCATTCTAAGTTGTGTAGATCAGTGATATATGAATTGGGGTAGATGATGAAATTGAAACTAATAGCTTGTTAATAATATGATAGGCATTTTTGAGTTTTCCTGGAAATGCTAACTAAAAAATATCTTTGTAAGAGCCAATTTAAAAGGTGTAACTCTCTCTCTTCCTCCATAGAAGCCAAGTACAAGAAGCTGGAGAAACGATGAAAAGCTTGTTTCCATGGGAAAAAGTCTTTTTTAATTTGGAAGAATGTTTTATTAATACCTGAATCTGAGACTGATGAATTGTCCAGACTTCTCAAAAGGAAACTATGCTAGTCATCCCAGGAACATCCCAATGTTGGAGTAAACTGGAAGATTGTGGCTACTCCTGAACCTCCGTTGGGGCAGTATCTCTCAGAAACTCACACTTATAACTCCTTAACCTTTTACTTGAATGCTTTATCAACCTTTCAGGACAGAGATGCTCTCAAAGTTCAGGATACACCTGGGCTTGCCAGTAGACTCAAATGAGAGGACCTATTTTCTCTGGTAGTGGCTGATTACTGCATTATTTTCTTGTGGCTGGTTTTTGAGTTACTGTGTAAATTTTTTTTTTTTTTTTTAACTAGTGATGCTAATGTATTGTTAACAAGGTTCTAAATTAAAAAAGGAAAACAAAACAAACTTGTCCTTTGCAGCTTCTCACCTTAAGAATGTAATTTACTTTTTCATGACAATGCAAATAATAGGAAATCGTAAAGTAATTCCAGGCCAAGTCTTCTAGACTGAGAAGTACTGAAAGGAGTGTTTTGATAGCTTGTAGAGGATGGGCCCCTCTTGTCCTCTTTCTACATGAGTGAGATGTGTGGGGATGGTTGACATCCTGACTTGTGTTCCCTTTTGGAAATGTGATAAAGACAAGATGTGTATGTGTGTGGGTGTTGGGTAGAAAGGTGGGGGCTGCCACTCATAAAATAAAGCATTTTATGTAATGTTTTCCTATCTGCGTCTGTAGGATTGAGGGGCTCCTGAGGACCTGGTCATTTCCCTAACGAAAGGTATCAGAGAATAGGAGATACTGATGAACAAATCTAGGTTGAAAGACAGGCAACCTTATCTAGAATAGGGCATCAACAGCTAGAAAGGTGCCTGAGGTCCTTAATTATATCTCCAAAAGCACTTCTTGTTTCAGTTTCTTTCTTTTTTTTTTTTTTTTTTGAGACAGAGCCTCAAGCTATCCCCCTGGGTAGAGTGCCATGGCATCACTCTCACAGCAACCTCCAACTCCTGGGCTCAAGCGAGTCTCCTGGCTCAGCCTCCCAAGTAGCTGGGACCATAGGCGCTCGCCACAACGTGTGGCCATTTTTTGGTTGCAGCCATCATTGTTGTTTGGGGGACCCGGGCTGGGGATTCGAACCTGCCACCTTAGGTGTATGTGGCTAGCACCTTAGCCGCTTGAGCCACAGGTGCTGAGCCTTGTTTCAGTTTCTGTCTGTTCATCTTAACTGTCCCTCCAAGCTACCCTTGCCGCTGCTGCCAGAGCAATGCTTCCAAAATGTAAATTAGTCATATTTCTCCTGCTTGGAATCCTTTAGTGATGTCTCCTGGCTTCATTGAAAAACGTGGACTTTTTAGCATGCATATAAGTCCCTATTTTAAATATATTTCAATTTCATTTCCTATTATTCCTATACTTCCACTGTGTTTAGCTATCTTCAGCTACCTTAAATTCCACTGGTTGAATTTTCTTTTCATAAACTTTTTATTTTAGAATAGATTTAGATTTATAGGAAAGTTGTAAAGACAATACAGGTTTAATAATACATTATTGATATGTAATAGTACATAATTGGGGGCACATATGGTAATTTGATACATTTATATAAGGTATAATGATCAAGTCAGGGTTACTGGGATACCCATCACCTTAAATCTTTTATCTTTTCTTTTCTTTTTTTTTTTTTGCAGTTTTTGGCTGGGGCTGGGTTTGAACCCGCCACCTCTGGCCCTATTCCTTTGAGGCACCCTACTCCTTTGAGCCACAGGCACCACCCTATCTTTATCTTTTCTTTATGCTAGGAACATTTGAATTATTCTATTTGAAATGTACAATAGATTAAGATTAACTTAGTCACCCTACTGATTTATTGAACACTAGGACTTATTCTATTTAACTATATATTGTACCCATTAATCAGCCTCTCTTCATCCACTCCCACCCTACAATCTTTCCTGGCCTCTAGTAACTACCAATCTACTCTTTTCATGAGATTCACTTTTTTAGTTTCCACATGTGAATGAGAACATGTAATATTTGTCTTTCTGTGCTTGGCTTCTTTCTCTTAAAATGATGACTTCCAGTTCATCTATCCTGCAAATGAGGAGATTCCATTCTTTTTTATGGTTGGGTGATATTCCATTGTGTATATATACCACATTTTCTTCATCTGTTCATCCATGTAGTTTGCTTCCATATTTTGGTTATTTCAAATAGTGCTACAATAACATGAAATGCAGATATCTCTTCCATATATTGATTTCCTTTCCTTTGGATATATGACTAGTAGTAAAATTGCTGGATTATATGATAGTTCTGTTTTTAGTTTTTCAAGGAAACTATACAGTTTTCCATAATGGCTATACAAATTTACATTCCCTCCTATCTTTGAGGGTTCCCCTTTCTCCATAGCCTCTCCAGCATCTGTTATTCCTCATCTGTTTAATAAAAGCCATTTTAACTGGGGTGGTTTTGATTTGCATTTCCCTGGTAATTAGTGACGTTGAGCATTTTTCACATACCTAATTGTATGTCTTCTTTTGAGAAATGTCTACTCAGATATATCGCCCTAAAAAAAAAAATATGTGTGATAAGATCTTGTTCTATTGCCCAGGCAGGAGTGCAGTGATTTGATCGTAACTCAATGCCAGCCTTGAACACCTGGGCTCAAGCAATCCTCCTGCCTCAGCCTCCTGAGTAGCTGGTGCTAACAAGTGTGTGCCACAACACTTGGCTAATTTTTACTTTTTGTAGACATTACTTGTTATGTTGCCCAGGCTGATCTTAAACTCCTGGCCTCAAGTGATTCTCCTGTCTTACCCTCCTAAAATGCTAGGATTACAGCTGTGACCCATTGAATTCAGCCATTGCCCATTTTTAAATCAGATTGTGTTTTTGCTATTGAGTTGTTTGAGCTTCTTATATTTTCTGGTTATTAATCACCTGTCAGATGAACCATTTGCAAATATTTTCTCTTACTCCATGAATTCTCTCTTTGCTTTGTTGGTTGTTTCTTTTGCTGTGCAGAAGCTTTTGACTTTAATGCCACTAGTCTATTTTTTGTTTCTGTTTCCTATGCTTTTGGAGTAATATACAGAAAAATCTTTGCCCAGGCCAATGTCTGGGAATATTTCCCCAATATTTTCTTCTAGTAGTTTCATAGTTTGGGGTTTTAGATTTAAGTCTTTAATCCATTTTGATTTGATTTTTGTATATGGTGAGAGATAGGGGTCTAGTTTCATTCTTTGCATATGGTTACCAAGTATCCCCATCACCTTATTAAAGGGATTGTCCTTTTGTCTTTTCCCCATTGTATGTTTTGGCAGTCAAAATGAATTGGCTATAAAGGCCTGGATTTATAACTGAGTCCTCTATTCAGTTCTATTTGGTTACTATAGCTTTGTAGTGTGCTTGCTTGTTTGTTTTCTTTGACACCTAGGTAGAGTGCCCAGGTGTCATAGCTCACAGCAACTTCAAACTCCCAGGCTCAAGCGATTCTCTTCTTTCAGCCTCCGGAGTAGCTGGGACTACAGGCGCCCACCACAGCGCCCGGCTAGTTTTTCTATTTTTTAGTAGAGATGAGGGGCTCACTCTTGTTCAGGCTGATCTTCAACTCTTAAGCTCAAGCAGTTCACCCGCTTCAGCCTTCCAGAGTGCTAGCCGCCGCGCCTAGCCTTCTCTTCAGTTGATTTCATTAATATTTTATAGTTTTCGTTGTATAGACCTTTTACTCTTTGGTTAAATTGATTCCCAGGTGTTTACTTTGCAGCTATTGTAATAGTGAAACACTCTTCTTCCTTCCTTCTTCCTTGAAGCGCAATCGCCTGAGAGAGGTTCTGTCCCTTGGCGCTCTCCGTAGCTAGGCGAACTTTCATTGGTTGGAGTGAGTGACATGTTATTGCAGCGCGATAGCATTTTCTCCCGCAGGACGAGTCTGGATTCCCAGTTTTAGGTGGTGGTGCTAACATTACCTATTCGGACGAATGGCACAGAAGCCGCTACGCGTGTGAGTGACTCTGAATCGGAAGTCTCTCAGTCTATTTGTCTCTCCCTCTCCTTTTTCTCTTTGTAGATGTAGAGACGGGCGGGGCGTTGGGGCCTTCCCTTAACAGGAAGGGAGAAGGAAAAGGGGCGAGGCTGCTAGGGAGCTTGGGTCACACCTTTGCCTTGCTGGAACCGGCCTTTTCCCCGAACTTTTTCGTCTCCGGGAAAGTATTCTCTTACCAACTTTCGCTGGGAGAGGCGGAAGCATCTGGAGTTAGGCCGCCTCCATCTTAGGCGGGCCTGGTCTCTGACACATCATCTCCCCTTAGTTTCTTCCCTCACCTCATCTACTTATTGACAAGTACTTCTGGACATTGGGCCTTGATGGGCCCTGAGCAGTGGTGGACAGGATTTACCCATAGGGCTTCTTCCCTGGTGTATATTTTTGGGGAGGAAGAGGACCGTAGGATGAGGAAGAAAGGACTTCATTCAACAGGTATTTGTTGAAGTGCTGAAGTGTGCCAGGCATTGTGCTAGGCTCTGCACAGATGGATTTCCTGCCTTAGTAGAGCTTATAGTCTAGACTCAGGTACAGGTATTAATCAAAGAATTCAGATAAATGTAAAATTACAATAGTGATAAGCGTTGGGAAGAACACTTTTGTTAAAAACTAAGACACAAATGCACACATCAGCCTTGGCCTACACAAAGTCAGGATCATCAATATCAGTGATCTTGTCCCATGGGAAGGTTTTCAGGAGCAATAACATACATGGAGTTATCTCCTGTGATAACTATGCCTTCTTCTGGAGTAACTCCTGGAGGACCTTCCTGAGACTGCTTTACAGTTAACTTTTTTTATTTTTTTTTATTTTTTTGAGATGGAGCCTCAAGCTATCCCCCTGGGTAGAGTGCCATGGCATCACAGCTCACAGCAACCTCCAATTCCTGGGCTCAAGCGAGTCTCCTGCCTCAGCCTCCCAAGTAGCTGGGACCACAGGCGCCGGCCACAACGCCTGGCCATTTTTTGGTTGCAGCCATCATTGTTGTTTGGCGGGCCCGGGCTGGGGATTCGAACCCGCCACCTTAGATGTATGTGGCTGGCGCCTTAGCCGCTTGAGCCACAGGCGCCGAGCCAGTTAACTTTTTTTAAATAAGTAGAAGGAGTGCTCTCAAATAACGATGAGTATAGTGTGCTCGATACATAAACCGGTAACATAGTCATTATTATTATCAAGTACGATAATTATATGTGCTAAACTTTATATGACTGGCAATGCAGTAAATTTGTTTACACTAGCATCACCACAGACATGTTAGTAATGCATTCTACAACTGTTAGGATGTTACTGTGGCTGAGTCAATAGGAATTTTTCAGCTCTCTTATAATTTTATGGGACCATTGTTGTACATGTGATCCTATATTGGTTGAAACACTGTTATGTGTTACTTGGCTGTATTTTTTTCTTTGACTTAAAAAAGTCACTGAATTGTTTAAGAACGACTTGCATGATCAAATTTTTGTTTTGGAAAAGATTCTGGCTGCAATGTGGAGAACAAATCAGATCTAAAGTATAGGACAGCTAGGGTTAGGGAGCCTGATGGGAGAGGAAAAGTTCAGGGATTTAAGGTTCATTAAGGAAGTGAAATAAACAATGCTTGGTGATGGTTTGTGAGTGAGAAAGAGTAACACAGTTGGATCATAGATTTCTCTCTTTCTCTTTCTCTCTTTGTTTCTTTTCTTTTCTTTCTTTCTCCAGGTCTCACTCCGTTGCCCTGGCTGGAGCATAGTGGTATGGTCATAGCTCACTAAAGCTTCAAACCCTGGGGCTCAAGTGATATTCCTTCCTCAGCTTTTCAAGTAGCAAGGGCTACAGGTGTAGGCCATCACACCTGGTTGGTTTGTTTCTTTCTTTCTTTCTTTCTTTCTTTTTTTTTTTTTAAAAGAAACAGTGTCTCGGCTCAGTGCCCATGCCACCGAGGCTAGCGGGTTCGAACCCCAGCCCGGACCAGCTGAAACAACAATGATAACTGCAACAAAAATATAGCCAGGCATTGTGGCGAGCACCTGTAGTCCCAGCTACTTGGGAGGCTAAGGCAAGAGAATTGCTTAAGCCCAAGAGTTTGAGGTTGCTGTGAACTGTGCTGCCAGGGCATTCTACCGAGGGTGACATAGTGATCTGTCTTAAAAAAAAAAAAAAAAAAAAAAACCCAAACAAAGTCTTGCTTTGTTGCTCAAGTTTGTCTCAAACTCCTGGCCTCAAGCATTTCTCTTGCCTTGGCCTCCCTGAGTGCTGGGATTATAGGCATGAGCCCCTTTTATGAAGTGCCCAGGGGTTCACAAATTTCTGTCTTTCTTCAATGGTTTAGGGATCACTGGAAAAGAGGCTGGATGAGGAAATGAGGCACTTTATCATATATGTAGTATAAACTGGACAATGGATCTCCCAGAAACAATTACAGTTCCATACAACAACTGCTGTAAGAGCAGGATCCTGTGGGAGCACTAGAAATTGGTAACTGATAGGGACCAGAAGCCTTCCCTAGCAGAGGTGATACTCAAAAGATTGGTTAAAATGCTTAATAGTTTGTGACAGCTTGCTCTGAAATGGTGAAATACGAGTCTCTGAGTCTTAGACAAGGGAGTGTCTTTCTAAGCTAGGCAGGAAAGCTTCAGAGATGTGCTAGTCCTTGAAGGATGAGGAAAACTTAGACTCAGGATGGGTAGGGTGAGACTATTAGGTGAGATAACTACCCCAGGGAATGGTAGATGCAAAGAGTTGATCATATTGACAGTAGGGAAAGTTTCAGTTGGGGAAACTTGGAGAAAGCGGTGGAAATACAGGTCAGGGCTTATGGAAAGCTGTGATTTTTTTTTTTTTTTTTTTTAGGCAATGGAGAACCTCTTAATGTTTTAAGGAAAAGTCATTAAAGTGATGGCTTGATGTAGGATGTAGGTAGGAAGAAGAGAGGTGTAAGAAGAAAGGTAAATGTGTTCCTTACTTTTTATCTAATGCCAGAGTCATTGGTTTTCTCTTTGATTCTTCTTTGCCATATCACAGTTGCCCCGCCTTGCAGTTATCCTCTATTCATACTTCTCCTTCATTTCCCATCCTACTTCCCCACTCCAGTTTGTGTTCAGATTCTGAATTTATCATATTTCTTTCCTTCCCACCTTCCTTAGTCCTTGTGCTTTTTGTTGATATTTTTGTTTGTAGTTACCTACAAACAATGTGGTTACCAGACCACATTTCACTCTGTTATTAAAAGTCTTTTTAAAGCAGATAAGATCATGTCTACCCTGCTTGAAAATGTTCAGTGATATGGATTATTAAAAGCACACTGGAAAGATATATTGACAAAACAATAAAACTATAGTATTTCAAGATGAGTTAAAAGACATTAAGAAAATATGAGGCCAGGTATGGTCTGGTTCATGCCTATAATCCCAGTGCTTTGGGAGGCTGGGGCAGGAGGATTGCTTGAGCAACATAGTGAGACCCTGTTTCTACAGAAAATAAGAAAATTTAGTCAAGTTATGGTGGCTTGCCCCTGTGGTCCTAGCTACTCAGGAGCCTGAGGCAGGAGAATTGCTCGAACCCAGGAGTTTGAGGCTGAGAGAGCTATATTGCTTGTACACATGAGCTCAGGCGTTTGAGGCTGAAGTGAGCTATCATGCCTGCTCTCCAACCAGGGTGAAAGAATGAGGTCCTGTCTTAGAAAAGAAGGAAAGGAGGGAGGGGGGAAAAGAAAATTATATGAGCATCATAGCAGAGAAACCATGTAAATCAGAATTAGAAAAACTCAGAAATGAGATGATAGAACAAGTTAAGGCCTTAAGTCATTTCACAATTTAGGATCAGTCCACCTTACCATCCTCAGCTCTTGCCACATTCTACCTTCTGCCTTAACACTTTACACATATCTCCTATTATAGTCCTTTTTTTAAAAAAAATTTTTATAATGTTTAGTGTATCTTCTGTGATTGTAAACTCTTTCAGGTTTGAACTGAATCTTCCTCTTCTTTGTATGTGCAGAGCATAATATACTTGGCATGTTGTACTTACCATTTTGTAGGTGTCTAGTACATGTTTATTGAATGAATGACTGATGCTCTATTAAGATAGTCTCAGTGGAAAGTAAAAGAACACAATGAACGTGAAAGATGTTTGGAAAAAGAGATTGATAGAACTTGGTGACTAGATAGGGGGAGTTTTGACTCTTGTTGACCAATTTGGTGATAGATCCATCCATAAAACTTAGGAATGAGGAGAAGCTAGCTCAGTTGTGGAAGAAAGGGTAAGCTAAATTTTAGAAATGGCAAGTTGGAGGTGTTGGTGAGAACTTCAGGTGGAGCTGCCCAGTGGTTTACGTTCACTGAACCTTGCAGGTTAACTGCAGAGAAGCTGGATCATGAATCTGCCTGATCAGTAAGACTGGTATATTTCAAACCTGGAAGGCCCATTTGTGTTTCCTGAATTGCCGTAACATTTATCTCTTGTTTGCAGCTTGGCTTGTGGAGATGTTGAAGGAAAGTTTGATGTTTTATTCAATAGAGTTCAAGCAATTCAGAAGAAAAGTGGAAACTTTGATGTAAGATGTTTCTTTATACTGTGTTCAATTTTACCATTTTATAGTCAAACATGCTGAAATAAAGTTTGGGCTTCTTTATTTATTTCTTGGTTGGATACATCCTCTATTTTTTGTTAGATTGAGTTTCTTTTGTGAGCCTAGGAACTCAGGTGTGGAGTTGGGGTGGGGGTGGAGAGAAAAAGGTCTATGTACTAGGCCTTTTAATGCTTTTTAAATTTGAATCTTACTACTTTATTATGGTGCAAAAAACTGAAAATGGACTAGCAAAACTTCCCTAGGTGATTCTGACCCTTGGGTTTGGGAAGCACAGATCTCCATAGTTGACCACCTCCCTACATTGACCAACTCTTTAAATTGATCTAATTTTCATACACCAGACATGTACCACATGTACCTGTCAATACAGTAGGCCTAGTTCCTTATGTTGACCAACTTCGTAGTTGACCAGTTTTTTACAGTCCCTTTACAGCGGTTCTACTGTATCTTATGAATATATGGTATGGATTAAGTCAGATATGTGTAGCATATGTGCAAATGCTTCACAGACTAAGAGCCCTATATAAATGTTATGTACAGTTACCAAATGCACTATCTATAAACTTTTACAGTACAGGAGAGTATTCTAGGTATGAGGGTAATTTGATCATTGGCTTAAAGATTAAGTAAAGACAAAATATGCTCTGTATCTCTCAGAGTATTAAATACTTTCAGTTTTGTAATTTACAGAAGAATTCTTCAAAGGTCTATTTCTCTGTCAGTGTATGCTGATAAGAAAAAGAATGGTGGAGAGAGCCATGGAGTGGTAGGGTAGGTCTAGGGGTATTTGAGGAACATTCAAATTCTCACTTCTTTTGAAAATTTAGTTCCCTGAATCCCCATCTCTAACTTGAATTTGACAGCTAGTGAGCCAAAATTTAATAATCCATATAATTGGCTTGGTGCCTGTGGCTCAAATGGCTAAGGTGCCAGCCATGTACACCCAAGGTGGTGGGTTCGAATCCAGCCCGGGCCCACCAAACAACAATGATGGCTGCAACCAAAATAGCCAGGCGTTGTGGCGGGCGCCTGTGGTCCCAGCTACTTGGGAG